CCCCAGCGCCTCCTGGGACGTGCAGCTGGAAGACCCTTCCCTACCCGGCGGGCTGTCTTTGGCCAATGGTGGGAGCCGTTGTGGGCCCTTTTCAGAGTCCAGTGGGGCAATCCAAGCTTAGATGTCTCCATGAAAGAAAGAGATGTCACTCCAAGATGTCAGCCACTCCAGACCCCCAGTAGGAACACTGGAGACTGAATAGTGAACGACTTGGCTGTTAAGAATCAAAGGAGGGGAAAGCTTTTTGATCCAACCAGAGCAAGATACGCGTCATGAACACCATATTCTCCCCACCCTAGAAGTAGCTCGGTGGACTAGGATGGCGGGAAAGGCGTGGTAGGGGAACAGGTCACACAGTGTCACCGGGTTTTGACGAACGCATTTAGCTTCTGGGACCTTTCCTTCTCAAATATTCTGGGCCTGATTTATCAAAGTGATGTGTCCAAAGGCGTGTCCAGTATCAAATGTTCTCCCTGCTAGATCTAGAGAGTAGGGACTTTGATCATTCATTCATGTATCCAGTAGTAACATTTCGAGTTCTTATTGCGGGCCAGACACCAAGCTAAGAGCCAGGGATTCAGAGAGTAAAACCCTGCCCTAAAGGATCTCACAATCTATTGTTGTATAAATAAATAATTACAGGCGGTACAATAATGCCATAAAAGAGCTACTCCTGGCTTTGGGAGTCCCGAGGAAAGAAAAATGGACCGCAAGAGAGGTTTACGAAGAAAGACTTCACGGATAAGTGGTGTTTGAACTTAAAGAATGAGTAATAAGTAGTTTTCCACCTTAGAGAAGGAAAGTGTTGCATTCCAGGAAGGAGGAGGAGCACCCAGCTCTGGGGGAGCTGCACAGGAGTTGTAAGATGTCTGCCTCTAAAATACCAGATCTCAGACTGGAGGTGAAAAATATTAAAACATTTTTCAATATATGCATGTTTCAACAGATAGTGTATGCACATTGTTTTTAATTGTACAGTTTCTTTAAAAAATTAATTTTAAGCAATTTTCCTTTTTTACTTTATAACAACAGAACAGAATTATAAGGACAAAATGAGGGGAAAAATTTGTTTGTTTTCATTTTGCCACACAGAAAGTTACTGTGGAAACCCTGAGTGCCCTAATTTCATGTGGAGCTGTCTCATGTAAGAGTGTAGGGTGAAGAGTCAGAATATCCAAAGCAGAGGCTGAGAAGGAAGGTCAGGGCCACTGGGAGAGAGCTCCTGTGCGGAGCTCTTGGACACAGTTCTGTAGACAATGGGGAGCCTTTTAAGTAGAGAAATGTCATGATCACATACATGTTTTATAAGGATAACTGTTGGCAGCCTGGAAGGATGAGGTGGCCATGGGGATAGGGAGACCAGAGGTAAGAAGCTCACTTTGGCGATAATTGTAGTCTAATCTAAATGTGATTCATATCATCTAAACATGGTGCTGCTGGGATTTATTTCGTATTTGCACCTGGGAAATAGTTTGGCAGCAGAGAATGAGACCCAAGAAAATGCACTGTAAGCTGAGTCTAAACCACTGTGGTAGGTTCAAGCCCTAAAGACATGGTGCCCAGAGGTGAATCCTAGCTCTGCTGCTTCCTGAGTGAACGGATAAAAATTATTGCATCGCTCTGGGCCTCAATGTCCTCATCTTTAAAATGGGTTAATGCCTAGTTCCTAGCTATGTTATAAGCACCTATTAAGATAATCCTTTAAAAGTGCTTACAAGAACACCAAACTATTGTAGTGACCCAGTGAACATTAGTTATCTTTATTACTGTTATTTCAGTTTTAATCTTCTTTGAGAGAAAGCTATTTAAAAATTGGAGACAGTATCTTAATTATCTTCGATTTTATCATGGTGCCCAACAAATTGTCAATAAACTTTTTTTAATGTTAATGTCTTAATATGAGTAAGCCACCATTTTATTGTTGTAAAGGATTGGGTCCGATCTGCCAAGCAAACCATTTTGCAAACATTCTTATAAGACCCCTACAAGGTAAACACTATTGTTCTCATTTTACAGATGAGAATCTGCAAAGTTCAGTAAATGTGTAAAGGCCTGGCTAGACCAGAATTCCAGGTCATACCTGCTGCCTGCAAAGTGCGTTTTCGCAGTTTGCCATTCTGCTGCCTATGAACTTATGGTTCCTTTAAACTTGTGAAGTAGGTCCACATACAGTGAACTGTGTGTGACTGATTCACGGTTTTCAAATTTGGGAGTCAACCGTGAATGTGATTCTGTGACTTTGCTCCCCCTTGTGGTAGCTCTTTACTTAGGTATACAACAGGGTCTGCGTGCACTTTGCCCCCTAAAATCTACCCCTCCTCTGCCACACTGCCATTCTTCAGGGGCAAGTTGTGAGAGATGTGGAATGCCTGAGAATGCGGTCTCTACTACATATTAATCCACCCCATTATGTAGTATTTCCTTTTCAGGACCACTCCAAATTTCCAGAAGAAAAAGTTAATTTACCATCTGATCATAAACCCTGGAGTAGGTAGGAGAACGCACCCAGCTCCTTGTAGCCACAAAATAATCCATGCACTTATCACCTTGCCCCAGTGGTGAATAATTGGAATCATGTTTATAAGTTAAATACAAATACATTAAGGAGTCAATCTCAAATTCACAGTTTTGATTTTTGGGTTTTGGGGGGGCTATAGTTTCAGCATCTAAGAATTTCATGTCTGAGGTGGCCCAGTCTCCTATTTCCCTTCATACAAGGGATACGTTCTTCTCTGCCCATTGGGAGGAAAATGTAAATGCAGCATTCCAGTATCCTAGGTTTTACTCTTGGATCCAGCCAGAGCATCAGGAACACCAACTGTTGTGCATGCATATCTTATGTTGTCTTGACTCTGGGGGCCCCTTGGCTTCTCAAATTGCTTACATTAGCGCTTTCAGAGGATTGCATTTTGGTATCATGTCCTGGGGCAGTTTTATAAAGTATCTTGCCATTGAGCACCTACATCAGAAATCACCTTGGGAGTCTGTTTAGAATACAGGCACATGGGAGCTCTTCTACACTTAAAGCCACACTTCTCGACTTTAATGTGCATGCAAATCACCTGGGAATCTTGCTAGAAAAGGTTCTGATGCCTTCTGGACTGAGGCCTGAGATCCTGCACTTCCAATAAGCTCCTAAGCCATGCCAATAATGCTGTCTTAAAGACCACACCTGAAGGAGCAAGGACCCATAGCGTCCAAGTTTGGGGTGAGGGGTAAGTCCCCAGGTGATTCTTATGCTTGAGAATCTTTGCCCAAGGCTCAAAGGATATTAAGAGAGTATCCTTATAAAAGATTTGCTACATTTACTTAAGTAATGCTGACAACATTGTCAAGATTTATTTCAATTTAATGTATCTCTAAGAAACTAGACTGTGTTCTCTGTCAAGATAGTAAGAAGTCTGTTTTAACTTTTTCATCAGTAAAATGAGGACAATAGTTTCTCTCACAGGTTTGTGGTAGAGATTGAAGTGTAAATAAAGTACTCAGCACCAAGCCAGACACCTAGGCACATAACAAGGGGTAAATAAATGTTGGTTGTTCTTGTCAGTGTCATTATTGTTTTGGCGCAGAAAGTGAACTTCCAAGTTCATAGCAAAACCATTGCCAAAAAAATAAAAAATTAAATAAAAAATTAAAATTTAAAAAACAGTTGCAATTGTGGAGAACTTTACAGTGTGTTTATCTGTGTCTTATTTATCTCCTTATTTAAACCTTCTATGTTAATATCTTTGGTCTTAATGGGTTTCTTTTGTAGTTTACTAGTTTACTGTGTGTCTGTGTTTCCTATACACTACCTCAAATCCTTTATAGAATGATTTCTATAGTCTATTCAGTTCTAATCAACAAATATTTATTCAGTGTCTTTTAATTGAACCATATGACAATGCTGATATTTGACCATTTTTGACATAATAGATGCCATGTCATATGATTCAACCCAATACTATGAGCCTCACGCTCTGCAGTTAGTGTAAATAAAAATTCAATAATCAAAACCCACTTTCAAATATCCAAGTGAAGGCTCAGCTGAACCCTGCACAGATTGAGGGAAATCCCACTCACTCATAGGTCTGATTAGTCCAGTGCAGGCGGCCAGGTAGTCAATCAAGAAATACTAATCATTGTTCTAAAAGAAACTTGGCCCGTAATTTAACAGCAGCTTGTAGAAATGGATGGTATAAATAGCCATTTTCCCTTTTCTGGCAACAGAGTAGTAAAGACAAGCTGTCAAAAGATCTTGCCAATCTCATTCTGATGCACTTTCCCTGGCAGGGAAGAGGGTAGAATATAACAACGAAGATGAATTTGGATGAGGCCCTGGAGGGGTCAATGCAAGAGATACTATGGAGAGACACCAGGCGAGAAGGAGCAAAGAGAGGAACAAAATGAACGATTCTTCGAATATGTTCATTTGTATAATGTAGTTCCCCTTCCCTCCGAAAAAAACCCTCTAATTTTCAAGAAATCTCTTTAAAGCTAAAATAAATTGAGCTTTTAAATATCTGTAATTTTCTCTGAATAAAACTGCTTTATAATATTTTTAACCATCTGCTCAAAAATCACATTTCCATTTTGCACAAATCATTATTAAAATAGAATCTGCCTTGTGTAATCTCATATTCATAACTTCCAAACACCCACACATAACAGTCTTCTCATCGGAGTTACTAATTTCTGCTTTGAAATCCTACTACCACTTCCCATGTGGCTGCTACACAATATAAGCAGAATATGAATATTCAGTGAGCCCAGCCTGATGAAAGTATTAAATCCTATCACTTATACAAAAAAAAAAGGTATTATTACTAGGAGAAAAACAGCCAAAGTTAGGCAAGAAATGGCAGCTGCAATTCGGTTGTCAGAATCCGAAATGGATTAGTGCGTAGTGCAAACTCTAACAATAAGATTTATTAGCCTAAGAAATGCACGTATCTCTTCAGCTTCTATTTTAGGAAATGAATGGCAGACTCCTCCTTCTTGCCATTATACTTTGGCAGCAGAGATTTTTTTTCTTTAGCTTTTCATTGTTTTTTGGGAGGGGGTAATTAGCTTTATTTATTTATTTTAATGGATATGCTGGGGATAGAACCCAGGACCTCGTGCATGCTAAGCACACGCTCTACCACTGAGCTACACCCTTCCCCCTCGCTGCCCCCCACCACCCCGGCAGCAGAGATTTTTTTTTAAATACCTAATCCTGTCACCTCTTCTGCAGAGAAACAAGTCTGCATACAGTTATTCCCCATTTTAGATACAGATATGCTCCTGCCGAGTATAGCAGGGAGGTGGAAGGCTGGTGAATAGAAGCTTACTGAAATGTAATGGAGGCACTTGCTATTTAAAAGAACACCAAGGTGTAGCCTTTTGTAAAGCAAAGAACATTTTTGGAAAACAATTATCATCTGCTCTAATTTTGGGATATAAATTTGAATTTTTAAGTACTAGGTCTTTCTTTGAAGCAGTGGTTCTCAAACCAATCTAACATTTAAAAAATTTATTTATTTTATGAGTAATTTTTTCCTGTTTTTTTGTTTGTTTTTTGTTTTTTTTTTTTAATTGACATGTAGTCAGTTTACAATGTTGTGTCAATTTCTGGTGTCCACCAAATGTTTCAGTCATACATATACGTAAAAAATATGGAACGCTTCATGAATTTGCGTGTCATCCTCATGCAGAGACCATGCTAATCTTCTCTGTATGGTTCCAATTTTAGTATATGTGCTGCCGAAGTGAGCACGCATTTTTGAGTCGTTTTAAGTTTTCAGGGGGCAGAAAGCACAGAGAGCACCCTTCAGCCCCACCATTTCCCCTATTATTAACGTTTTGCATTCCTGTGGTGCTTTTGTTACAGCTGATGAGCCACCATTGATGTACTGTTATTAGCTAAAGTCCATAGTTTACATCAGGGTTCACTCTTTGTGTTGTACATTTCATGGGTTTTGACAAATGTATAATGACATGCATTCACTAATAGTTCGGCTCTTACTAATAGTTTCACTAATAGTTTCACACCCTAATTGCCTCTTTTTTGTAATAAATATTTTTGTAACACCTCATTTACTATTCTAAAGAAAAATGTATAGAAAGTAAACTTTACCTGCATTCATATTCTTTTTAGATGATTAAAATATCTTACCTGTAAAATGAAAGAGAAATAAAAACCAAGTAAATCATAATAAAATGATACATACTTCAATAGGTAAATACTCAGACCCAACTACACGGAAAGGCTTGAAGCAGTCAGATAAATTACAATATAAGAGAAGTAATAAGACCAGAAAATATTCCATACAAGGGATACAAATCGTATATGTCAATTATATCTCAATAAAGCTGGGGGAAAAAAATCTACAAGTCAATGAATGCAAATCAGAAGTACGCATAAATGTTAGACTGGAGACTAGCACACTCAAAATACATCAGAAATATTTTGTGTTTAACAAAATAGAGTAAGACTACAGTTTCTGATAATTTAAACCAGTATTTCACACTTATGAATGCCTAGGGGAGTAATTCTTTATTGGTACAAGACTGACTTGGGCATTGTAGGACAACCAGCCTTGGACCCACCCACTAAATGCTAACATCCTTCCTCTTTGAATATGGGGGCAAGTCAACCCCCTTACATGTCTGAAAGCTTCCTAAGAATCAACTCAGCTTCTACTGAGAACCACTCTAAAAGTTTAATGCAACTCTAGGGACTGGTGTCACTAATGGTCTACTTGGGGCTTTTTTTCTGGACAGTTTTTCCTGCCTCATCATCTGACATTTCCTTAAAACAACCTCAGAATTAGACATATGTCTTATTTCATATGCTGAAGGAAGTCACTCTTGTTAATGAGGAACTTTCACCCAAGTGAAGTAAGATGATCTGCCCTTAGGAAAGACATTACAATGTCTGTATTCTTTTTAAATTTCCTTTTTTGCATGTTATATTTTGTAAACAGTCTTACTACAGTAGTATATGCATATAATTTATTAAAAACAGATATTGAGGTTGAATACTCAAATTTTTTATTGATGTGGTTAATAATAACAACAATAATAATAAAAGTTTGCTGATCCCTATATAGTCCATTCCTGCATAAATACAGTCAGATGCTGAGCAGCAATAGAAATTGTCTTTGATTTTGGCCATATCTAACATTCTTTCAGAATTCTGAAGTACTAACAGTGATCCTTACTTATTTGGCTAAGGTACGTTTAGAATAGACATGAGGTGCCTTCACCCTCAACTTTCACAGCAATACAGCTTCATCTCTTGCCACACTCCATCCTTTCCTTTGTTTCAGCCACACTCCACCTCTTACTGCTCTTCAGTTGCATCTTCTCTCTCTCCCTCACACATCCACACTTCTGCAACTGCTGTTCCTTTGCTTGAAACTGTTGGGGAGGAAAACTTTTCCTCTACCCTCTTAGGTTCAGTTTGTGAGGGCCTGTGAATTAAACTGACAAAAGGCAGGTTAACAGGAGAAAAAAAGTGCATTTATATGCATACTGAAGCTAACAAGAGTAGCTAGCTTGCTAAATGGTTAACGTTAGAGGCGTATATAGCTAACTGAGCAGGGAAAAAAGTGGGGCAGAACAGGCTTCTATGGAAAGAGCAAATCCTTTTCTTTTGGGAAGACAAATGGGTTTTTAGGAGAACAAACAGGAGATAAGAAAGTTTGTGAGAATGTTTGGTTAGGCAGGTAAGAGTGGTCTTTCTAGCTTCTTTGCGGCCGTGAAACCCCCTGGAGAGGGGATTTATGATAGCCTTATTTCTCAGAAGTTGCTGTCTTTAGTCACATAAGTGAAGCTCCAAGAAGGCTTCTTTCTGCATCTGTTGAATCTCAAATGTTGTCAGCTTAAAATAATCTTCATACCAGCTCTGGGGTTCTTATCCACACAAGAGCACACTGTACCTTTCTCACTCCCATCCTTTGCCTGGCTAACATCTGTCTCAACCTTTATAACTCATCTATAGCATCATCCCGGAAAAGCCTTCTCCCAACACCCTCCCCCGGGCCACATTAAGTCCCCTTCTCTGGCCCCTGCACCTTGGGGTTCCTTTGGCCAGAGCACTTGGCACTCTAGGGTCATATTTATCTATTTGTCTGATCCCTCTTCTGACCTATAAAGTGATGGAGCGTGCTTGAATAGTGTTCCTGGCATATAGTAGATGCTCAATAAATGTCTGTTGAAAAACATGAATGATGATATCACTTGACAAATTGCTTAATTTGGAAATTGTATTGCTTTTCAGGAGAAATTCCTTGGATTTGAGGATCTTGCTATAAATTCATTAATTTTGCTGAGGTTTAGTTATCAAAATGAAGAATGATGAATGGAAGGAAAAGATAAAGAGCTATCACAATAAGAATGAAAGTAAGAAGATGGTGTTTCAGCTGAGACACCTTCAGGTGAAGTCTCTGAGAGTCAGATCTGTTGTGAAGTCTGAGGCAGCTGAGGTGGAATGGAGAGAGCCTTGGGTTTAGAGAAGACCTGGGCTTGGGTTCCAGTTCTGTTGTTTTGATCTCTCTGACCCTTTGTTTTCTTGCTTATGAAATGGAGGAGAGAATATGTCATTTAAGAGCTGTAGACAGAGAGAGGATGCATTTGAAATAGCGCTGTAAACTCTAGACTCTGTGCAGAGTGTGAAATGACCTGCAAGGGCAGCCTGGGAGAATCTGATTTAATCAGAGGCAGACATTCCAGGGTGTTCAGACAGTGGAAGCATCTCCCGTGAGAGTATGTGGTGGGACATCAGACCCTTCAGCCGTCCACTTGGGCTGAGAATACACTCTTCAAATTCAAACTGGATTCACTGGAAACTTCTGGAAAGTTCCAGCTGAGTTGCATAAATCCATCCAGGCAGGCTATCTGTGTGGAATTGGGGTTTCCAGATCCATGTGTTTACCTAGTTTGGGCACAGCCGTAGCTGTGGGTCAGTGCCAGGGATCACAGTGGGGTGTGAGGAGGCAGAGCAAGTAACTGCCCAAGTGGTGTGACTCAGGGGCCGCAAGAAGCCTGTGGGCCAGAAGGGCGCCCCTCTGGCCTTTCCCTGTGCTTGAAATCACTAAATTACTCAATCTTGATGGGGTCTGGCATCCAATTTGGAGTAAGAAAAATGTGACTGGCGTCAGTTATTATTAACTAAGGCTCCACAATGATCTTTGTTTTCCTTCCCAGAACAACAGTAATGATGGGGAACACTTGTTCAGATGTGCACCAGTGCAGCCCTGAGCACTGTAGACACATAAGTTATTTAATCCTCAAAACAGCCCTTTGGGCTTGGTGCTATCATTATCAGCCCCATTTTATAGACAAGGATGTTAAGCCGCAGAGGGTGACATGTCTTTCCCAAGGGTGAATCACTACTAAAGAGCAAAGCTGGAATCAGAACCAGGGCAAATACAGCTCCAGGGTCGGGTACTTAACCGCTCTGCTGTTGACTACATATTTGTGGCGATGCAACAGCGCATGCAACAGTTTCCTAATTCCCTGTGAACAATGGTCCCCACCCATCCACCGTTCCTTTTGAAGAAATTGTGTTTGCTTGCTTTTTTAATGTTACTATTATAGAATAGGAAGGAATAACCCCGCCCCCTGGTGCTCCCGGGGGAACTGTCATTAGCTGTCACTATGTAGCTCACAGAGTCTCCTCTGAAGAAAGTAAAAAAGAGGCCAGAACACTGCCTCTCCCTGCCCCCCAAAACACTTTCCCCTCTTTTGAGTGGTCACCCACTTGTGCTATCAGTGGCCCAGGGCCAGGTAGAGGGCAGCCCCTTTTTCATCTGCCCCCAAAGACCCGTGAATGGAGCCAGTTCCAAGTCCTGGGCCATTTAGATCATTGAAGGCAGAGGGCAGGGGAAGAGCAGGTAACACCCAGGATTCTCGGGGCTCCTGTTTCAAGAAATAAAAGGAGGCTGAAAACTCTTGGCTATTAGCCTCTGCCTTTTCATGTCCCTAATGTCTATCTAATTATAATTGAAACACATCAAAATTAAGTATGGCTCTGTGTGGGGAGGCACCCCTAAATCTGGC